AGTTGCGTCAAGAATACAGAAAACAAAATAGTCAAAATAAAGCATTATCTCAAGACCTCAGTACCAAAGCCCACTCAAAAGAGGTAAGCAACTTTTGGGTTCTATGACAACAGAGGATGGGCTACTTATAGTCTTTCCAAAAGAGTACCCAATGAACTTCTGTAAAACACCCTGGAAAAATTACAATGTTTTCCCTGTCAACGAATGGTGCTGAATGACATACACTGACAATTAGAGTTGTGTCAAAAAAGGAAGCATAATAAGTATTCGGAGCTCCTAGCATTAAACAACACATCTAACAGCAGGCTAAGACTTTTAGCACATGACAGTTTAATGGGAAAAACAAACCGGTATGGAGTTGGAATTTACAGTATTCCTGTAATTTGAATCCTCTCCAATACCCCCCCTCTCAAATTTGGCCAGGTACTATTTACAGCCATTACATGAAATACTATTAATCTACTTGATTATTATAGTGTATAGTCTGATAAAGGCCAGTTGCCAAAGAATCTCCTAAGAGTTACCACATTTTACAAAATAAAAGGCATTTCATGGGATCACTTGTCATCTAGGTCAACGTACCCTTGATCGAAAGTGATTTTTAACAGCTGTCAAAAAGCTGACACAACTTTCCCAATGGTTTTGAAGAAAGCATAAAATGCATTTAACAATCCCCAGTTCAGGATTAAAATAACATCACTTGCAAATTGCAGCTTTTGTTACATTCTATAAATTTAATATCTTGGAATGTAGCTAGACCAATTACTTGGACTGCACATTGATAAAGTCTCATCCAGACCTCATCCTAAATTTGCAGCTCTGCTGCACTTGAATCATCACATTACCATTAATTTTGTCCAAGATATATTGAATTTTAAATTTATGTATTTTTCTTTCTTTTTGTAGGGGCATAGTAGACACACCATTGATACACACAGATGCGCTTAAGCCTCTCGTTCAGTGCTGGATGAATGATATTCCTGCGGGGAGACTGGCTCAAGTAACAGACCTCCAGGCTGCAGTTGTGTTTTTGGCATCCGAAGCTTCAGATTACATGACGGGCCACAATTTAGTCATCGAAGGAGGCCAGAGCCTTTGGTAGAAAGTAGCACGGTGTGATATCAATAACACAGGAAAAAAAGCCGTAAGCACAGTGATATACAACGCAAGATGAGCCTTCATTAGCACATAAAAAATAAGGATTGATATTGTACCATTATTTAAATCATACAACTGAAACAACACAAACTATAAATTACCTTCTAAGAATACATTTGTTACTTCCCTGTACTATTACAAAGACATGTAATTAACTTATGTCAGATAATAAATGTGAAAATGAATATCATCTTGTTCTAGAAAAGACACTGTGATTATTGATACTGAGTACTGTGTGTTCTTCAGGACTATTGCATGCATAGAGGCTTGTTTAGTAAACAGGGTACTGCATGAATTGTAAGGACTGATTACAAAACTCAAAGAGAGACAGAAACAATCAAGTTTATTCAAGTAAGAAATGTCAGGAATTTAAAGTGAATTTCAAATGTAAGGCCAAAGTAGCCAAACACGAAGTTAGGTGATTTTTTTTCCTGATTGACTATTGTGGCCTTAAATGTTAAATTCACTTTGAATACTTGACATTTTTCTTTTTAGTGAATAACCCTGCAATTGTTTTGGCCTTGGTAAGCAGTATGGCCAAAGCCACTTTTATTTTTTCCTGCTTATGTTGCATATTTGAAAATGTTAAATATATGAGCCCGAGCAATACGTTGTATTTAGGAAATGTACGCTATGTTTTTTTAATCTGGATAAAAGTTATTCTCCAAGGCAAGTATTTATTTAGCCAAAGGAGAAATATTTGTTTTATATTTTCTACACATAACTTTGGCGGTAAAAAATGAAAACAGATTTTCATCCAACTGTGATCTCTCATAATACGGACCTCTTACATGCCAGACATGTCATAATATAAAAATGTCTGGCAAAAGTGGATAAATATGTTGTACGAAAAACTGTTGCAACTCTAAAAGGGTTAAATCAGTTAACCATCAAAGACAACATGGTCTGGATTTTATGGCTAGAGGGAAGTGAGCTACTTTTTTGCAGCTACCCACGAGGGCATTACAATAATTTATTTATAGATTTATTTTTATATAATCAAGATTCAGCAAATATAGGCAATATATTGGTGCATTTTAAGTTTGCATTACGTAATGAAATACTATTCACACAATTACAATGTTTTTATTGCAAGTTGGGTTTTGAAGTCAGTTATTCCTTTCCTTCCTTCCTTGTTTCCTTCCCTTTCTTCATTTTATTCCTTTCCTTCCTTCCTTATTATAAAACAAAGATTTATCTTGTGCATTTGTATTCCTTTATTTGATCCAGCAGAAAGGCAATACTTCATGTTCAACATTTAGTCGTCTTCTTCAAGACTGTCTCACTAAATCGATGGGTGTATCTTTATTTATTTTTCGTCAATATGGCTTTACTTCATTCACAGACCGCATTAAACTGTACTTTTCTCAGAATTAGACTATTGTCTGCTGATCCCATTTGAAATCCGTATGTATTTTCAAGCATTACAAATATATTTCTACTTAGCAGAGTCAACACTGATTAAACACAGACAGCCTACAAAGGGAACCTGTTGTTTTGTATTATTCTATGTTTTGAGAGACAAATTAATGTTTGCTTAATATTCTCCGAGGTGTCTAGGATTGTCTTCAAACATCTCTTAAATTCTCTTAAAACATCTGCTTTCTGATACAGAATATCACTAAGTATATCCAATAAGAAAATACACTTGTTTCTAGAATGTAAAATCCCGCTTTGATGAAAACCATAAATGCTTTAAAATTAGCTATCACAGCAATCAATTTTTGCAGGAAATCTAATAAAACCCAATCAATGCATGCTGGGAAAAGCCCTATATAATAAATTTTTGCTCAATCATTGAATTAATTTTTACTTACTCACTCAGCACATAGTAAAAAACAGTTTAAGCATATAGTGCATTTTTGGTGAAATGTATAGTGTGCTTAAACCTACATTAGAAATATACTCTTCCCTTTCTTTGAAGAATATAGAATTCTGAGTAATCAAATCTTGTCTTTTGAATTGTATTCGCTGATACATTTTTGCCATTATGGTTTATTCACTAAATTGGAAATAGTGATTATTTAATAAGGGGATAGCAAATTTTTAGCACAAAATTTAAAAACAGGAAAATAGGTGAGATGGAGAATTGTTCTACTTTGTGCATTATAGTGTAACATTTCCCTTGATAATTCTTCATAATTGTTCATTGATTCTGATAGTAAAACTGGAAACAGGGCCGGCGCTACCTGTAAGGCGACCTAACAGGGGGCGCCGGATCCCTGCGCCCGGAATCACCGCGGATTTATGTGACCGGCAGGAGGGAAACGCGGAGTGCTCCCTCCCGCCGGTCTCTCAATGTAGCGTGGCCTCCCCCCAACCCCTCCTCCCCTGGTGGTCCTTACCCCCTCTGTTCCTTACTCCCCCCGTTCTTACTCACACCCCCCTCCTGACTATGTACCGTGGCCGGGCGGCGCGGAACGCGGGACAGGAACCTCTGTTTCCTGTACCCGGCCGCCGGCGGACTGACAGGAAGTGCCTTGCACCAGCCCTGACTGGAAAGGGCATTATGTATGGGATTTATAAACAGGTAATCCAGAACATATATACAGATAAGAGTAGACAATTTTATTACATAGAAAACAGAAAGCAGAAATCAATCGTAGAGAAACACTGCAAAGATTCAAAGGTAGGCTTTAACATAGCACACTTACTGAAATATTCACACACTAAACAAGCGCATAATAGCATTATATGACTGTAGTAACTTGGCCTCTATACTGGTGTCTCCATCACTTAGAAACATAGAACATAGAAACATAGAAACATAGAATGTGACGGCAGATAAGAACCATTCGGCCCATCTAGTCTGCCCAACTTCCTCCATCTGTGGTCCATTACTAAATCTGTAATATAGTTAAATTCACCCAAACTCAGTTTTAAAGTAGAGAAAATTAGAATTTCACAAATCTCCCCAAAGAAAGGAGAATACGAATAGGAATACACATCGTCAAAAAAACCCTAAAAGAACAACTACAGCAAGTGTATAAAGTTCAACCAAAAGACAATTTACACAGATATGATCTTCTATGCCCACCAAAAAAATTACAGACTGCTTATTGCAAACATTGTTCATTAAGCCCACCAACAATATGGCGGTCGTAAGACAGGAGCCAAAAAGCATCATACGGATCCTCGTAGTGGGGAAAAAGGATATAAAAACAAAAAGGTAGAAAAGGTTTTCCTCTGCTTTTGCATTTTACAAGGGAAAAACATTCAAAATTGGCAAAAAATATAGGAGAAACCTATATATGGACAGCAAAATAAAAATAAAAAGGACATTTATATATCAACACGTATATTTAGCAGAATATTAATACTCTGAATAAATATCTACATAAAAACTGAAAAATGTTTATAATAAAAAATATATATGTATGAATATAGGTATGCACCCTGCAATATATGCACGCAGACTAAAAACACTCCCAAAAATGTATATAAATGTACAGTCACAGATACATGAACAGTAGGGAATAAAAAACAATAGATTAAAAAAAGAATTTCATGTAGTCCTTCTAAAAAGTTCTCTTCCAAATCTTGATATTCCAAATCCAAAATGCCATTGTTTAAAACATCCATAGAGGTAATGTTGTAGAAAACAGAGAAAGAAGGAAAAAGAAAGGATTATTATATCACATTAAATACATTATGTCTATATCAACATTGAAGCCAAAATATTCATGCTTTTAATTTGTAAATCCAGAATGTTTCATTTTGGCACACTTTTTTTTAAACCTAATTACTCTCTCTCCAATTAGCCCCTGCCATATGTATCCATATCTATAAGACGGAGATGAACAGAGACAATGTATGAATTTTGATCCCATCGCCACTACCACCACAAAAGTGACTAATAGTCTTGTTGAGGTTCTGGAGAAGGTATGATCAGGTTCTCTTCCTTCTCCCTCTTGCTTG